TTTCATTCAGTTGTCAACCACTACTGATGACAAGTTAACAGCTTTGGCACAGAATGCAAATCATGTTGGTTTCTCATTTTGCTGCCAGGTGGAGTTCTAAATATGTCGTTCAAGCAAAGGCGCTTCCCCCACAAAAGATTAAATAAAGTGTAATTGAAAAGTCTGAAACTGTTCAGTTTTTATGCATTGTTGTAAGGTCCCGGCTCAACGTCCATCATCTGACAACTTACCAAATACCTAGGTTTATAGCCCTGACGCTTCATGAAACATGGCATTGTGTCTAAGCGTCTGAGATTAAAAGCCTTTTTTTGCTACTGAAACGCACACTATTACAGATCACTGTTTAAAATTTTTTATCAAAAAATACAAGATACACCAACTTTAATATCATGACATGCATTTAAGAATGTGCAGCAGTTTAATCGACACGATCATGCTAATTTTAATGTAAATGAACAAAAAGACAGCTTTGACTAGATTTGCACTATAGGAGCTTCTATAGTAACTGTAGTATAGTAAGAAATCCTGCATCTTGCATGTAGCCATAGCTGTAAATGACAGCTTGTGTATATTATAATCCTGTTTACTGTCATGCAAATCCTGCCTTACAAGAGAAGATATATTCAGCAGGGCAAGCTGAAGACTAGCTGTAATTGTCTCTTGTAAGAGAGAAGAGAATGCCTTGACAGATCCGAGTGTTCTCTTAACATACACACTTTGACCACCTGCTACATCCTCCTTTCACCGTGTAGAGTGACGAGTGATAAATGTGTCACTGTTGTATAAATGTTCAAAGAAGCAGTCTCACTGAAGGAGAAACTTAGGTTATATGGATATGTGTGCCACACTAGCCATATCTATGTGGTAAAACAAACAGATCTGCACACAACAACATTGCTGATCATTTGTTTTCTTTTTTTTTTTTTGTCATCTTAAAATGAAATTTAAATGAAACACAGCCAAGTTGTTTGATGCCACAGTGAGCAGTTCTTCAGAATATGTAATCACATTCGCATGAGTCTGAAAACAGAGTCTATAGAAGCCTGATATAATGATGACTCACTGTCCTTTGTTGTAGTTCAGCATCAGATTTTTCTATTTAGTTACATTGTATGTGCTAAAAGCCTCTATCATTCCTTACTAACCCAGACCACACCAGAGGACTGCAAGGCAGATCATATTTACACATATATGTGCAGTCGGTCCAAAGCCAGCAAAGAAGATTATGAATGAAAACGTACCAAAATTCACTGTAATGCTTTAACACCGTGGAGGATTTGGTCTGACAGAGGTTAAGGAAAGAAAAAGGTTCAAATGATTTCTGGGAGATACGGTCAGCCAATAATACACACTCCATGGGATGATGCTGTGATACTGCAGGCAGTATTTGTTGATGTAGAATTCTCACAGGCAAAAGCCCTCAGTTTGTAACATAGGAGGAAAGAGACTAAAAGTCTTGTTTGAATAAAAGAAAAGAAAAAATCATTTTATCCTTTAAGCTGACAGAACAAGAGTTAGAAAGGGACTAGTCATATTGAAAATAACATTAGCAACAATGAAGAAGCTGATAAAAACTGGATTTTTTTGCCACAAGGCAACATGATGTCCCCATCTCTCCAAGGAAGCCACACAGTTGAGATCTCACATTGTGACACATGCAGCTCCCTATATGGAGCCTCAGCATGTGAAGTAACCCTCATCCCCAGGCCTTGATGAAACAGCTAGACTTGCCATAGACAAGTATGCTGATAGCAGCTTTTGTAAGAA